CACTAATGTTTTCCATCTCGCAGGTGCTGCCCCCGCAGGTGGACGTGGTGGTCGAGCCGCCTTGCCCCGTCCGCATGCGGCTGCACGAGGACCCGCAGCGCGTGTGGCCGGCGCGCCTCATGGTGGCCGAGTGCGCGTGCCCGGCCACCAGCTGCCGCCCCAGGACGGCCTACGTCTGCACGCAGATCATCTCGCCCGTCGTGGTGGTCATGGCGGACGGCGACGGCCGCCTGCGCCAGCACCGCGTCATGCTGCCGTCGGGCTGCAAGTGCATGACGGCGCGCGCCACCCTGGTCGAGTACCTGGACGAGGACTACAAGTGACCCCGGCACCCTGTTGTACTCGACCAAATAAAAGCACCTCTCGCTCACTCCAGAGGGTCTTCTAATTCACCCTTTTGCTCCCGCTCCTGCTAGACGTCAAACACACACTTTTTGCGCCGCGACCCCCTCGGCAAGCACGTAGACGTCTCCAGGCGCTCCAGTCGGAACGGGGTGCGCCGCGGGGGTGGGGTGGGGGCTGCCTGCCTTTGAGCCGGCCCCGACCCGGGCCGACCTTTTGAACCCGTTTGATAATGTAAAGGGGCCTAACCTCAAAGAGACCGCGGCCGGCACGCGGCTCGCCTGGCCTCGGCCCTCAGCCCCGCCGCAGTGCGTCATGCGACGCGCCGGGCCGCACATAGCCCGCCCGCCGCCGAGCTCCTGGCCTCTCGGGCCGAGACACAGTGGTTGTTTTTTAGGCTAAGAACACATTCAAACGAACTTTAAACATGGCGTCGGAGCAGTCGATGCCGCCGCCACAAGCGCTGGCCGATGCGAACAACAACACGCGCCGCGCCCCTGCCATCCCGGGCATCTACGACCTGAACCAAGAGGACTCCAACTGGATGGTCACGAATGCCTTCATCATATTCACCATGCAGACAGGTGCGTTAGAAACACATCCAAATTTTACACTGGGGACAAAGTTGGAGAACAGTCGTAAAGGGGAATAGTTGTTGACATAAAGCAGCCTATTTAGGAAGAGAAAGTTACTCCGCCAAAGATTACTTCACATTTCTCTCCCAGGATTCGGCCTGCTCGAATCGGGATGCGTGTCACAAAAGAATGAGATCAACATCATGATGAAGAACGTGGTGGACATCTTCCTGGGGGGCTTCACCTACTGGCTGTTTGGTTTCGCCACGTCCTTCGGCCACTCCACAGTGCGGAACCCTTTCATCGGGTGGGGTGACTTTGCGCTCGACTCGGCCGACTCGGACCCCAACATGGGCGCGCTCTTCACCGTCTTCCTGTTCCAAATGTCGTTCGCGACGACGGCCACCACCATCGTGTCGGGCGCCATGGCCGAACGGTAGGCCCTCAGGCGCCGCCAGGGAGCGCCCCAGCGGTAGGCAACCCAACTAACAAAGCGCATTCCTCGCAGGTGCAACTTCAAGGCTTACTGCATCTTCTCCTTCATGAACACGGTCGTGTACTGCATCCCCGCGGGCTGGGTGTGGAGCGACACGGGCTTCCTCAACGAGATGGGCGTCGTGGACATCGCGGGGTCGGGGCCCGTGCACCTGGTGGGAGGCATGTCAGGTCGGTGAGGGCCGCGGGGACTTCCCCGCGGCTGTTTCTTTTGATAAAAGGGTCGCAGGACGCCAAATTTTCAATTTTGATAGTTTGCGTCCCGACAATATTCTCTGCAACAACCCAGGGCTTGTGCGACAAGTGTAACCAGACGCAGCTCCCAAAGATTACTGGCCGGTTTGACGGATCACGCGACTGACGCGTTCACGCCGACATCGCTCTCCCAACCCCTTCCTCCCTCCCAACCACCCCCACCCCAGTGACTAGGGCGTAGGAGGGTATCTCGCTCTGCGAGCCTGAGAGCTATCAAATCGAACTCCTATTAGCAAGAGCATACAGTTTTCCTGCACCATAGCTAAAATACAAGAGGAAGGGTCCTAAAGTTAGTGTTTCCGGCGCGCCACATGAATTCGCACTCACATTTTTTGCTATGATGCAGGAAAACGGTAACTTACGCTCTCGCTATTCGAGGTTCGCAGGCCTGGCTCCCTTTTCCCGCGTAGGCGGCTTTTCAAAATCTTGAGCGATCCTCAGTCCAGAAGGAGATACGCAGATTTTGAGAACCTACGTCCTAGTTCCTGAGGGGGAGGGCGGTTCGGACTGCGTGCATGTGAAGTAAATACACCCTAGTTAGTCACCGCACGCCGGTGCGCGGATATAGCGGCGGCGTCGTCGGTGTGATACCCGGCAAACGCCGCCAAATTGACCCAAAAATATTTCAGTATGAGTTTTGTCGGAACCCACTGATCGGGCAGGGCAGACCAGGGCAGGGCAGACCACAGGTTTTGGCACAGAGTACTTTCAAGACATGAACTATCACATCAATGATTATGTGCAGCCTTGGCCTCGGCCATCATGCTGGGCCCGCGGCTGGGGCGCTACGACACGGGCACTGCGCCCATGCCGCTCGGCACCCCCGTCAACGCCGTCATGGGCCTGTTCGTGCTGTGGTGGGGCTGGCTGGCCTTTAACTCGGGCAGGTGAGTGTGGGCGGTGGGCCGCCCACCGCGGGACCGCCCGCCCACCACTTCTCCAGATACTGGGAAATACACCACGGACACCACGGGAGAAGGGATTGCGATTTCGCGGAAACCCATTGTCGTTTGGTCCAATTCTCTGTGATGTGGCCCCCTTTGCGACGCCACCACGGGCCGCGGCGGCTGTCTGGGGCAGGATCGTCGAGGACTGGAGCGGGTGTCACGGTGTGCCCTCGATTGTGACGAACACGCAAACAAATGCGTCAGTGTTCGAACGACACGTGTCGCCGCTGCACCAACAGCACTTTGTCCTTGGAATGGCTTCAGTAACATGGGAAGCTCGCACAAAGACATGATATTCTCGCCCAACGACATTATTAGCATCAAAGTGTCTTTGGACATATCCGGCCACAAGAACAAGACAGCCGTATCGGTACATTATTTTCTGTGATACAGCACGCTCGGGGTGTCCGGGGCCAAATGGCACTACTCTGCCAAGGCGGCCGTCATGACGCTGCTGGCGTCCTTCGGCGGGGGCTTCATGGGGCTGTTCTACACGCTGCTGCGCAACGCGGGCAACGTCGAGGTCATCGACCTCATCAACGGCGTCCTGGGCTCGCTCGTGTCCGTCACAGGTAGGCGTTAGGCCGTGGGGCGCCCTCCTGTGGAACATGGCGGTAGATGGTGGTTGCACGACTCTTTGCCAGCAGCTGGCTGCTTCCTCTACACGTCCTGGGAGGCGATCCTCATCGGCTTCATCGGCGCGGGCATCACGTGCGTCGCCATGCCCCTCTTCGACGTGCTGCACATTGACGACCCCGTGGGCGCTACCTCGGTGCACGGCATGGCGGGCATCTGGGGCGTGCTGGCCGTGGGGCTGTTCTCCTCGGGGCCACCCGACATGCCCACCACGCAGGGCCGGTCCGGCCTGGTGCACGGCGGCGGCTTCTACCTCCTGGGCGTGCAGGCGCTGTCCGCGCTGTGCCTCGGCACGTGGTCCTTCTGCTCCACCATGGTCATGCTGTGGCTCATCGACAAGGTCGTGCCCATCCGCCTCGGCCCGCACGAGGAGCTCATCGGCGCCGACCTCATCGAGCACCGCGTCAAGCACGACGGCGTGGGCGTGGACGAGGCGCTCGCCATCCTGGCCGACCACTTCGACTCGCGGCTGCTGTCGCAAGTGCGGTCCATCGGGACCAACCCAGGTACTTGTGCACAGGCTCTGTCAAGTTTTCAATACCGTAGCGAATTCCATTTTCAGTTGGTAGTGATTGTATCCCGGAAAATTGGCGGAGAAGTTGCATCTGTGTGTACAATAATACCTAGTCAACACGTTCCAGGACACGAGGCTTACCTCGCGAAGCACTTCATGCCCGCGACACTCCCGGTCTACCCGAGATCCGCCAAGGGGTCCGCCAAGGGGGCCAGGCCGGCTGCCGCTGGTGTCGCCGCGGCCGCCAAGAAGGTCGAGACGGCGAGCACCTTGGCCGCGCTGCTGCGGGGAGTGTCCTTTGGCGACCCGGACCCCAAACAGAAGCACGCTTGGGTCGACTGATGCTCCCGAGTTGATACTTCTCCCTCCGAACGCTACAGTGGCAAAAAGAAAGGTGTTAATTCGCATCTTTGCAGGTGGCATTTTTTAAATTGTAAATTTCTGTACAAAACACTAGGCAGCATATAGCGCATCTGTTTTTGAGTCGCTTTTGATCCAAGTGGGCGACGAGATGAGGTTATTACAAATTATCGATTATTGCCCGCCAAGAACTTTGTGGGGCTTAATACGTCTGTCATTCGCCTTTACAAAGCTGCCAAGTTCAGCCAGGGCCTGGAAACGCAATGGTCGAGTCCCGGCCGAGGCGCGATACCAGCGAAAACAGCGTGTTTGGGGGAAGCTTATGCGAAAAAAGTATACATCTCCGGTAAAAATCAAGAAGAGATTCGGAAAGCTGATGAAATTTGCCGTGTAGTAGGCCTAATATAAAACATGATACTGTCACGAGTGCGCGGAAAAAAATGGTTAAAAAACATGGTTTTTCGACCCTACATAACCTTACTCTTGCAGACGGAACTTTGTTCGTGGATTTGACCACGACAAACATTACTTTCGGGCTGAGCATATAGCCTACTACACGTCAAATTTCACCAGCTTTCCGAATCTCTTCTCGCTTTCCACCGTAGATGCATACTTTTCTCACATAAGCTTCCCCCGTTGCGGTATCGCGCCTCGGCCGTGACTCGACCATTGCGTTTCCAGGCCCTGGTTCAGCCCTGGCAAGCTCTCGTAGCGCCACGTAGGTAGGCAACATTTTCGTCTGCAGTGCATGCGTGTACTGCAGGGTGGCCTACCTAGAGTCTCGCAGGCGCCGAGCTCCCGTGATGTGCCATATGAATCAGAGAAAAACGGATGAGCTATCTGGACGATCCCTAAATTGTCTCATGAGCAAGAATGGATCCACTAAGCTATCCGTCAGCCTACTTCGTCATGAAACTGAGACTTCGACATCCCCAACATAACTGTGATTCATGCTGATGGAGACATCTGAGACAAACTTGATCAGTCAAGTAAATGTTAAGCCAATCCATCGTGTCCGCACTAAAACCAATGAAGTTGGTCCAAAAATTAATGCCACCACGAATTTTAATACATTTGAAAGGGCACTAAGCCCCGAACACCATTGTTGTTTCCAGAGTACGGCGCATCGTGAAGTTTGATTTATGTTCCGTAGGTTGAAGTTGAAGCGTAGGAGGGTGCAAGTCCAGTGCGTGGAGTACTTACGGCTCTCTCATCCCCCGGCACGGCTGAGGCCACTCGCGACGCGGGGTATCGACGCCAGGGCGAGGCCGCCTGGCCGCCTCCGGCCTCCGGCAGATGGCGCTGTGCGTCGGGCCGCCCGCGCTGGGCCCGAGGGAATGCCATGCAGCGCCCGCTCTCGGTGGCGTCCAGCGGGTGGCACGGTGCACCGGGGCGAAGGCGGTCAAAGACGAGGGCGGACGCTCCGGCAGCAGGATCAAAACGCATCCGAAACGTACCCTCACTGATCCTCCCCCACCTAGAGAAGAGAATCTCGGTTGCTATTTACGACGCAGGCAGCAATCCCCCCACCCAGAGACATATTCATATTTCCGTTTTATATTTTCATGAAAGCGTATTTGCCGTGCGCGCCACCGCTCCACGCCCGAGCACACCACACACACGGGGGTTGGTCGGAGAGAGCTGGCTGCATAGAGCAGATATACCTCGATCGTAAAAGTCAAGCGGGCAGCGGGGCCGCGTGCGAAACCACGGCGGGCCTCGCGCCGCGCGCGTCGGGTGGAAGGCGGGCGATGGCGGACGCGGCCCCAAGGTAGTGCGAGCCCCGGAGGCCCGGCTGTTGGGGCCCTATCCATGTATGAGGCCCAATTGCTCGAGGTGGATTATGTTTTATTTGGCTTATATATTGCCACGTTGGGCGGGCGGCGGAGGTGGGACGGCTACTGGAAACACACTGTCTCCAACCTTGGACTGCGTATGCGGGGTTTGACGGACGCAAACAAAGGACAGTCAACACATTTAAGAAACTGCCGTGATCGACATGAGGGGCCATCCAAATGCCTCAGGAATTATAAAGACTTTAAATATCACGTGCATTACCCAGAACAAAGACGGCCTAACCTCAAATCATCAAAATATGATTTTGATTTCTCAAAAAGAGACAGATTTTTGGAAAACAGCCAATCAGACAGTAGCGTTTGTTCTGAAAAAGAAACGCTTGCAACAAAATAAAGGAAAATCGCAAAGCATTTATTTTTCTTCCATTGTTTTCAACAGTGCATAGTCAGGTGTTGCGGTTAGGCTGCCCTGCCCGCCTCCTGGCGCGCCGGGCCGGGGCCTTGCCTGGGCCGGGGGCCGCGACGCGGTGAGGCCCTTAACTTTTACTACCCCGCGATCTGCTGCCCTTCCAGCCGGGCCGCGCCGCGCGCCGCCGCACAGATTGGAATTCTGAGCTGATTTTGTGAGTTTAGGAGCGCGCTTGTTCTATTGCCCGGCCGGTGCAGGTCCCGCGCTATTGCCCCCCCCCCCCGCCACGCGTCGCTGTCGCGAATAAAACCAAACAATCCCCTTACCGTCCGCTCCAGCAGCACTACGGCGACCACGGCTGGAGCCTACTGGAGGGCTGCTGGAGGTTTGCTGGAGGGCTGCTGGAAGGCTCCTGAAAGGGCCTGCGAGAGGGCAGCTGGACGCTCGCTGGGCCTGCCGGACCGGAGAGGGGTTATCAGCAGCGTGGCTCTTGTCAGGCCGAAAAATAAATTTGAATAGAATGAAGCGTCGATAGAGAGAGAGAGAGAGAGAGAGAGAGAGAGAGAGAGAGAGAGAGATTTGGTGTGGAAGGGGGGGGGGGAGAGAGATCACAGCCACAAAAGCGTACGTTCCAATACGACCGCGGGCGATCAAAAACGCTTCAAAAACGCGGTGTCCGCGGCAGCGTGTCGCAGTCAGTGAGTCCGCGTGCCCCGCCGATGCGATGCACCACTAGCGCGTCAAGTCCAGTGTGCAGCGTCTGTAAATTCTTTTTCCATTTTGTGCAACACGATCGCAATGTCGGGCAGGACTAACGCGATTCCGACCACACACACATACACGCACACACGAGCGCGCGCTCGCAGGCGGCGGCGCGACGCGGCGTCGGCCAGGCAGACCGCTTTGGCACTTTGCACTTTGATTTATAGACAAGCCCTGCGCTCCCTTCCCTCCGCCTCTGCCGCTCCTTGGCTGTTTCTGCATCGCCAAGGGGATGAAATATCATTTCTGTTATTTCCATTCATCTCGCGTACGGGACAAGCGCGCCGGCGACGTCACCGCAAACGTACCGCCGCGGCGACCACCAGGTCGTCGTCACCCGCGCAGGCGAACTTGATTGTAGGCCGCCCACAAATTGCTGACACGGCTGCTGATAAACAAAATATTTTTCTAATAAAAGACATTCCTCATTCTTCTCTTCAAACGGGCAAGCACCGCCCCCACAACTCTCTCTCTCTCTCATCCTCCGTCCCCCTCTCTCTGTCTCTCTCTGGCACACACGTACACATATATAAAGGGGGCCATGGTAATAAAAGGAGAGCGCCACGTCCGTCCAATGTATCAATCCGCATTTTTAATATGATCTGTTCGCCACGTAAACAATGGCGTCCGCTCTGGCCTCATTTTTTTTATTGCCGTATTCCTGATGGATGCGATGGATGCGATAACGCCATCCTCGTCGCTCCAATATCGGTCCGGGGAAGGGGGGGGGGGGGTCTCGACGGTGGGAGAGGTAGCGAGCGAGAGTGTGTGTTCGAGAGAGAGGGGGAGAGGGGGCGGGAGTAGTTGTTCCGGAATGATCGCATCTCCGAATGCTCGAAATGGGAACGGCCGGCGGATCCAGATCCAGGAAGATCAAAATCTAGGTTAACGAATCCTACCATAGATGCAGTCTGTTTACGTTTTACAAATTAGGATGAAACGTGTGGAGTATGTTACTTAAGAAGCAAACGAAAGCATGTGTAAAATTTCCAGAAATAAATTATGGCAGATTAAGTAAACATACTGTTCACCCTCTGAACCCCTTCCACCCTTCTGAACATGTACTCCAAAAGACGACTCCGAAGCCCGTAGGTCGGCGAGTCGCTCAAACCCAAGAGCTGATTTATAAGCCTTCTCTGAGAGACCGGAGAGACCTGGGGTAGAAAAAACAAGAGAGAGATGTTTGTGTCCCAACTTTGCAAAAGGGGCCATGACAAATACGATTCCGATGTAGGGGCAATTATGGAGATATGCAAAAGCTTATGCAATAAAAAGAAAAGGGAAATCAATTTCCCGGGACGCCGACTCGAATCCAACAAACTCATGAAAGGCGAGGCCAAGTCCCTAGGTCTTAATTTGCAAAAGTTGATGCCATTCATTTTGTGACTTTGTTCTCCCGATATGAAAAAAAGAGAAAAGGAACAAGGAACCGGGAAGGATTTTTCTGACAGCGATTTGGAAGGCGGGGCTGGCGCGACGTTCGACTGTCTGAAAGCGCAAGGAAGAAATTATGCTGTGCGTGCTGTGCGCATCATGCATTTCTTTTAAGGGGAATATTTTGAATTGGAAAGGAAATGTGTAATGAGAAATTGTTTACCGGCAGCCCGGACGGGTGGGAGTCCTGGGTGTCTCCTTCGAATAATACTGCTTTCATTGAATAAGCATTCTCTATCGTTCAATATCACTCAACTTTCGGGTCGAGACGCGGCGGCGCCCCGCGTCAGTCAAAGAGCCCTGCAATTGCGCAGTGGTCACAAACGATACCGAGTCCGTCTCTGGTCCGGACCAGGAATGCGGGTCCGCTGCGCTATGCCGCGCTAGCGCTGCTGCTGCGGCCGCCGCGAGCCGTGAGCGGCTCCGTCGCTGATGATGCATTAGTTGGCAATTTCTTCCCCCCGCGGCCCACGGGTCTGGCCGGCGGCGACACGACACGGCGCGCCAGTCTTTGTTTTGACTTGACAAATTGTGGGCCGCCGCCAAGCGCTCCCATAACAGCACCCCACTTCCCCCTTTTCCCGCTCTCTACCTCTGGCTTCCTCATGGAGTGTAACAGTATTTTGACGGAATGAACTGCGACGTGCCCGCTGGGCCGTGAGCGGGCACTGCGGGCAGCGCGGCTCCGTTACATAAAAACGCAACGGGTAGCCTTCAAACCGTTAGAACGGCGCGACGCTTCAAGTTACAAGGCAATGTATTTTTTTACAGGCTGGATTAGCCTGCCGAGTCTTATCCTTTAGGAAGTTAATACCTTCTGACCATTAGAAAACACACCTTTGCCAAAACATTTCTGCTGAACAATTCTGCCTATGAAGGCGCAGGTGCACAGTCGTAATTTTGCCAAATTACTGCCTAATTTTACCTAAATCATTGAAACGCAAGTGTGTGAATGTCACTCACCTGTAGGTGTGGGAATGTACATTGTTACACTTAGACGGGTAAATATAAGAATTTTTTCCAAGAAAATTGTGTGTGAATATCCATTTGTACATTTAGAGGAGTAAAGGTGTGAATTTCTCCTAGAAAATTCACACGTTTACACCTCGAAATGTACGAGTAGGCCTAGTGGATATTCACACACTTGCGTTTCTAGTGGAAGCAGCAGGCTTAGAGGCAACTATAGCTTTCATGTATTTTTTATATTTTCAGCTTCTCAGTTAAAGTTACTTAACGATTGTATGAAATTTTTACCGGTTGAATTTAAATATGTTAATGAAAGAGTTGCCGTCATGGCAAACTCATAAAGTGAACCCTAATTTTCAAATTTGAACAGAAAATACTACTTACTTTTGTACAGGTACAGAGATGGGTCCGTTTTCTGGGGATACTAGGTAGGCAAACTATCGGCGTAGCTTTGTTTGGAGAGATAGGTCACCGGCGGCATGGGTAAAGAGGAACGAAGCTCTTTAGTTAGAAGGGAGGCGGGGAGCGCCCGCCCGCAAGTCGGAAGAGGCGCGATAATCGCGTATCAGACGCCACGTGCCGCTTCGTTTGTGTTTCCGGTTCGATCTCAGCTCGCTACGCGAAACCCCGATAAAACGCAGCTTCTCTTTAAACTTTTAAACTTTTCAACGGGTAGCGGGCAGAATATCGGCAGGCAAGGTGCACCGGTGTTTATTCCCTCTCCGGGCAGCGCCTTTTGCTCCCCGAGCGCCGGATTTTTACCGGGTGATTGTAAAAGTTTTAAGTTAGGACGCCTGCAAATCTTGAAACGCAAACCGTCAGTCTTATTCAGCTCGGCGCCACAGACTGGCCCCGACCGCGCTCCATAATTCTCGACACTCTGAGCCGCCGACGCTCTTCAGCGGGCCAACTTGCGCACTTTCGCCCTTTTCATAAAGACGCGCTTCTTGGTCTCGTAATGAAAAATAATGCACACTGCAACAAAAGAAAAACATGAAAGAAGAAAGAGAAAGGTACAGAACGATTTTCATAAACAACAACTACCACAACAGTGCGAGGCACTGCTGGCCTGCGAGGTAAACAAACCCACGCCGCGGCGCGGGGGAACGACCGCAGCCCCGCACTGTGAATGAAGAGTGCAATGCAATTATAGAGACAGAGTTCAGGACCGGCCGGGTCAGGGCGTGACCCCACGCCAAGCGACTCATCGGGGAGCGCTGTTCGAGGGGTGAACCACTTCTGGAATCATGTGTGCAAGCAAAGTGCACTCCTAGTTGTACTCCTCTGTACTCATTTGTACTCATAGAGAACTCATGATCTTCTCGTTTTTGCGATGTTACTCATTCTGTATTGACCATGTACTCTATATGTACTCATGTGTACTCCGGTGTACTCATCTGTAATCAGATAAATCATTCTCTCACAATGGGTAGCTAACGTAAGTACCGCATGCTTTGTATTCATCGTGTACCTAAAGGCACAGGAAAATGTCAAGTGATTCACCATTCGTACACTGCTCGCGACCAGCAGCGCAGCTCCACCTGGAGACGAATATATCCGTGTTTGGCGTGAATACCGCGCGGCGGTACGTCAGATATCCCGGACGGCCCGTGCCGAACGTGCCCGGAGCACGAGGAGTCCCGCGCCGCCGCGGCCCGCGCTGCCACGCCGCGCCGTGCCCCCGCAGCACGGTGTGCAGGTGGGGGACTCGGGGCGACAAGGAGCGCGTCGGGGCCTTCAAGTAGCGGCACGTTGCAGGGGACGGGCTCAGTTCAGAGACAGCTCTCATCGACGTCAAGCAACCTAGCCATGAAGAAGTCACTCACGGTGAGCATATTACACGCTATAAACCACGTGTCCCACTTTTCATGTGTCGGACAACTTGGGGTTTATTTTTGATTGCCACATTTTGATGTCCTACGGGAAGGCTTTGCAGTGGCCTGGTCTGAATGCCACCCACCCAACTCCACGTGCTGACAGGCCTACACTGTGAACAAAAAAGAACCGATGCAATTGAGAACATTATGGCTACACGATTTATTTTTTTTAATAATTAGCTATGTCCGGCCATGTCGCAAAAAGGCTATCTGGCTCAAAAGGTAGCTGGATAATAATTTTAACTATGCAACTAAACATCGCAAAATTATTAGTTATTAGTTACACACGAACATAGTAATCTTTCAGATGGCTACTGGTTTAGCTATAACGGCTATGATATTCTCAGTTTCATCACAATGATGCAGTGTACTTACCGGATTTTTTGCTCTCCCGACAGGCAGCCGCCCTGGCCCTTTTCGTCCTGGTGTCGCTGGCACAACAGGACGCGGCCGTGGCCAAGGACCCCTGCAGCAAGGACTGGCTCCGGTACATGGTGGTGCAGCAATGTGGAGGCATGGACAAGCGGCACCTGGACCGTAGGAAGCCATTAGCGCCGACCTCGGTAAGTTACAGGCTTCAGCTCGGCTGAAATTTTGCCTTAATTAATGAACTCCGACTTTAGTGCAAATAAGATTCAAGATTCTGTGGAAGCCGCGATACAACTCGCTAGTCACAGCGCATTTCTCTTACCAACACTCGTTCTTGTCTCAGCTCCAGGAGATCCTGAAGGAGGTGGACCTGGAGTACGAGCGGTGGCGCCTAGGCACCGAAGGACAGTTCGATGACGGCGAAAAGAACGGCGAGGACGTCCTACTGCCTGCCATCTCAGAGAACCGAGTTAGTCTGAACGACACGAGCGACAAACTAGAGGGCGCAAGGCCGACCGAGGTTGCGCTGACCTCTAAGAGTTTCTTCAGGAGGCTGTTCGAGCATCCAGGTAAGTGCTTCATCAACCAAATAAAGTAAAAAGTCATGTAGAGTTGCGACCTGCACTCTAATGGGGAAGGACAATTTTGTTTCCAGCAGAGATGTGTTCTTAAGCACATGCACATTTGAATCGGCAAAGTTTTACCTAGCCTTGGTACAATTACAGTAATGTTTTGGTGTATGTCTTGTCTAGACACAAATTTGCATCTGATTGGGATGTGTTTAAAATAACACATCCTCGCTGGATACTTAATTGCCTTTTCCCATTTACAGTCGTGCAATTCTCAATAATTAGTATTTCAATGTAAAATTGTTAGTGCTGCTCACCTTTTCACACCCGAAGAGTTGCTTATGTCGGGCTGTCTGTCCTGCAGGCGACGTCCTGGCTGAGGCGATGGGGCTTGTCTCCAGGGAGCCCAGCAACAGGAAGCTGCTGAGGAGGAGAGCAATGATGAACGGCATCAGCAAGTGCTGCTCCGAAGACTGCGACCCCGAGGACTTCGAGGGGGCTTGTTACTGACAAACGACTGTTTAGATTATGCTTAAATTATTCTTAGAATTATAGACATATTTTTTTTTACACAGAAAATAGTTGATATTACGAGAGGGGCCATTTTTATTAAAAGGTACACCGCGTACCCGATTTTTAACTCGCGCGCTGTTATCACACTCTCTCTCCTACAAGCCCCCCCTACAGCTCGTTGACGAGTCCGAGCAGGCCATGGGCGGACACACCCCCCAGCCTGGCGCCCTTTGACAGTGCTGACACACGCACCGCCCCAGTGTCCGTCACCTGTGACCTGCGGACATGCGTCATGTCGCCCCATGTGCGCACCTCCCTCTGTCCGCTACCCTCCAGCCTCCCGGTCTACACTTCCGCACGCAGCCCATCTGCTTCCGGTTCCTCTTCCTAGCGTTTCTGCGCACCCAAAGAAACACGCATCTTTATATAATTTTTGCTAGCCCAATATAATAACTTTCAATGCCAGTATTATTTCTCTTTCTATCGCTCACAATCGAACATCACTCGCTGTCTCTCCTCTCTCTCTCGCGAAGTGCTGACAGGGCGTGATGGATGCGGGAGGGGTGCGGGCAGGGCGTAGCCGGCTGAGGTTAGTTACATGACGTGTCGTTGCACGGCAGTGATTGCGCATCAGTCCGTCTGTCCGCCTCGCAGTGTGTAGGTCCAGCCCCGCCCCGCCACGCACCGAACGCCTTTCCTCCCCCCAAGGAGAAGGAACACCCCCGGCGGGACGCACATGGCGCCGGACAACAATGATATTCAATTCCCCGCCATCACCACACAATTTCTTCGCCGACAGAATCCCCTCTCGTGCCCCTGCTCTTTCTCTTTCTCTCTCTCTCTCTCTCTCTCTCTCTCTCTGTCCGGCCGAGCGGCCACATATTGCACTGCTGGCCACCCCTTTTACCGCACTGCACCTGCGCGCCAAGAAAGGACGACATGATCCCGTTATTAACATATCAGCCCTTTGCAGTCAGCGTGCTGCTGGTCGGCACTGCCAAAAGATGCAGCTCGCACTTCCCCAATCAGTGGAAAAAGAAAATGAATCGTTAAATAAAATGACGCGACGCGTTCAGAGAAACAGAGCACCGTATAAGAGCGCCCTTGCTTGCTGTACGCCTGCTGTACTCTTGCAGCTCCTGCAGCCTGCACGCCGGCCGTCCCGCGGCGCACGCCGGCGGTTGGGTGGCCTACCTCTACGGGGCTCCCCCACGGCCGCGCAGAGCCGAGCTGCGCCGCCTCGAGCCTCGAGCTTGACCGCCGCGCCGCCGGCACTTGGCACTCCCTCCGGCGGGCCGCGGCATCATTTTCATATTCGTCCACGACGTCCGCGCGTCCGCAAAGTGAATCCCAATGCGGCCCCCTCCCTCGCTCTTCCCTTGACCGGCTCAGGCGGAGCAGCGGCTTTGCCTGCGCGCTGGCCCCACGCCGCCACAACTTGCCAACTTATATTGCTTACATTTGCAGCTCAGATCGAGGCGGCCTGGCCCGCCTGCTGAGCCCCGCAGACCTTCCTTGCCTGTGTTTTTTCGCCCATTTCGCCGGAAAGGGGTCGTTGTATTGATACAACCGCTGTATCGCTAGACCGCTGTGCGAGAGGAGGGGGGGGCGAGAGAGCGAGCGAGCGAGCGAGAGAGAGAGAGAGAGAGGAGAGTAGAGATGTCCACCTCACTCGCACCCCCGGGCCCGGGCTCAGTCGTTCCTCGGGGAGGCCTCGGTCACCGCGGAGAGGGACAACAAACAAACGACGCGTCCCCGCGGGTCGCGGCCGGCTGGCCCGGCGATCCGCGACAGAAATCCGCGACGCACATTCGGCGCGGCCGGCGGTCGTCTCGCTCATCTTCGAGGCGCCATCAACGCGGTCGCGATAAAGTAAAGGGTTGCGCGAGCAGCGCGTCGCCCACCCCCTCGACATCAGGTGGCCGCGGCCGGCCGGGGGAGGGGGAGGGCAAGTACCGGGGGCGGGACGGCCAGCGACGGAGGCCGGCGGAGCGCATTGGGTTAACCCTTGCGCCGTAATTTGATTAATGAAATGAGTCGAGCGTCGGTTTCATATCTCGTCTCATTCTCGACGCCGCCCAAAACCCGTCGCTTCAACCGTCTCTCTTGCGCTCTCTCTCTGCGTCTGTCTCTCTTCCTCTTCACCATCCGTCTCGCTCGACACATTTACGAGCGCGGCAGGGACGAAGAGTGGAGAATAATTAAAAGAGATTAAAAGTGGCGCCTAAAGTGAGTTTTATAGCGATGCTGGCGCTGGCGTCACTACTTCTTTGCTGCGCGAGAGGCCGGAGGAGGAAAGGATTCAGGCAAATTGAGAGACAGAAGGCAGAAGAGACCCGCGCAGCCGAGCAGCACGGCTGCTAAGGGGCTCCAGAGGACATAGGTCACACAGGTCACTCTCTAGCACGGCTGCCAGAAGGTGTAATGGCAGGGGCACAGTGAGAGAGCGACCGGGAGCGAGAGAGAGAGAGGGAGGGAGAGAGACCACCACAGCAGCAGCGGGGGATTATGAGAACCAGGTCAATTTCTAGTGAAGCTGGCCAAATGTATGGGGAGAGGAGAGAGAAGTGGGGGAGAGAGTTAGGGTGAGCGGGAGAGAGAAGGGGAGAGCAAGGGAGGAGCAGGAGGACGGGAACGAGAGGGTGAAAATTCGGTCACGGCCCATGACGCCACGGGGTAGGATAAACACGCGATCGGAGTTACAATTGAATCGCTATTATTTAATTTGGCCACCGTACGGAGTACTCCCAGCAGAGCATCCGAGAGAGAGAGAGATAGTAAAAGAGCTATGAAGGGGTGGCGGTCCGCGGAGCGTGTCGAAATACAAGCGGGCAGGCGCTACCCCGCGGGGTGCGTTGCTAAAGAGAGTTCAACTTGCTCCTCTCCCCCTCCCCCCCCCCTTTTTTCGAACTAACAATCAGTGATTGCACTTTTGTAGTGTGGTTCACACATAGGTGCTATCTTACAGCGAATAATTAATGGATATATTAAGAGCAAGAGAAAAAGTCCGATTAGCCCAAGTTAACGACTCTATACTGATCCGTAATTGTAGACATAATACGTGGAGTCAACTGCTGGCAATGTCAACTAAATCCAACTAAATAATCGCGTGGGCATAAAAAATAAAATATTTTGTCCATAAAGAAAATTGCCATTTGCCTCATATGGCAACGACACTTGTCGCGTCTTGAGTAATTGTCCAAGCATTAAAAAAGGGAGAAATAAAAGCAAAAAAACAAAACAACGACCCACGCCTTATTATTCCGAGAGGCAGGCAATGAGAGATAACACTACTAACTTGGCAATGCAACATAAGAAAAAAAAATGGAATAAAAAATAATCTGGCGCTATAAAAACTGGCGAGCCGCTCTGCTTCGCCAAAGGAAATGCCTGTTTATGTGGCGCGCACGTTGTTTCTAAAGACATATAAATTAGAATCGAAGATTACGCTCGCTTTTATTATTAATATGCCCGTGGGGTGCCCTCGTGTGGGTGCGAGAGAGAGGGGTGGGGGGTGGGGGTGCGCGCTGGGCCGACAGCCACCGCCGAGTCCATTTGCCCTACCACGCCCTCTCCCTTTTTTCCAACCTCTCTCTCCCTCTCCCTCACACCCCCTCCGAGTTTTGTTTCAGTTTTTTACGATTTCCTCTCACTTAGCCATTTTTTATCGCCTCCTCCCTCGCACCGTATCCTTTTCATTTGGGCGCGCCAATCCGCTTCCTCCTTAACACGTCGGCACCAAGTGGTGTGATTCGGTGATTATTCATCGAAGAGAGAGAGAGAGAGAGAGAGAGAGAGAGAGAGAGAGAGAGAGAGAAAGAGGACCTGCAAGCCGGCGCAATAACGCGAAAAAATTGGAGCGGCAAAACGGAGACAGGAGGGCGACATTGAAAAATATTGAAGCAGGCGCGCGGGGACTCACTGATTGGGGGGCCTAACACGGCACACCAGGCGGGGTGCGCAGACGAACGCACACACACACGACCATCTCTCTGAGAGACATACACACCGTCGCCCGTTAAACCATTGAGGCAAAGCAGAGCCACGTACGTTTTGCGGACTGGGCAAATATTTGACCAGGTCGCTGCTTGCGATGAGGCAGGGCAGACCGTCGCGCGAGAAGCCATAACAGCCTTTCATAAAGCGGACAATGGGAAGGCGACAATACATATGAAGTCTTGGCAGACGCGCGCGCGAGCCCGCTGGCCGCGACTGCCTTGTGCGGATTGCTTTGCAAGGATATAAGAACAATAAATTTGACTGCGGGGCGACTGGTAATGATCCGGGCACGGACGGAAACTTCCTCCTCCTTTGCGCATCCAAAACGGATCCAAAAGCGCAGCAGACAAGACAGATGCGGTCCAAGGAGGGGTCGCTCCAGCTTTACACACTACGAGTCGATCGCAGCTGTCAATAAATAACGCTAAATTGGGTTAAGTAGGGGAAGAGGTGGGGTGGGGTGTCTCGCATCACCACCGTGAGAAGGGACAAAACGCACACGCAGAAATCAGCTGATTCATATTTCACAAGCTCGGTGGATGCCGTTTTGCAATGGAATTTCGCAAGATGAGGAAGCTCAAAAGGCTTTAAATTTGTTTCACAGTTTACTACCCCGGAGTACAGTATTAGATTGAGATTGATCTGACCAAGGAGACAGTCATGTGGCTACGAAATAGACACATGCGAGCAGGAGGCCCATCGCAGCCAAAATCAGACGAGTACTGCAGACCTGCCAGCCGCAGACTTCACGGGTCGTCCAAGGGTATTTCCTACAAGATGGTTCCCCTAAAAGGATATCGATTAGGCTCCGTAGAGCCTCGTTCCCCTTACGTAGGCAATTTCCCCCTATCTGTAGCCAAATTTCCCGACCCTGACCTCACATGATGCCCCTGAAGAAAAACGAGATGGTCTAGGATTAGGCGCGACGTATACACGGCAAGACGGTCCATCCCTCAGGGTATTGCCCTGCGGGTCAAGCAAAACTTGCCGCTTAGTCACGTCGTCAGTCCCTGCGGGTTATTTATCGCGCGCCGGTGACAGTGTGACACTGTAACACCCGGCGCTGCAGTGCTGCACCCTCCGGGCAGCACCGCCAGGTCAGGCGTGACGGCCGAGCCAGGCTAAACC